CACACCCAAATATAGACTCATTAGCATGTTTGTGCAGAGTATCCTTGTAAAAAAAATGGTTCCTTCATCTCAAAAAAAAAAAAAANTCATCTCAAAAAAAAAAAAAGGTAGCATCTTTATGATTTTTAAAAAATAGAAGATAGTTCTTCCTACTATAATATATTTTAATATAAATGCTTATATTAGTCACATCAAAGAGCTTTTTAAAAAATAAAGGTAAAACAAATAGCCACTTGGTGCAAACAAATATGTGCTACCACTTTTTTCATATACAGACAACTTTTTATGGCTGGGAAAGTGCTCGGAAGTAGCCCGCTACAAATAGTAATTCTGCACTCAATTCAAGGTTGTGGTATAAAAACATAACATTAATGATTTTTACTGCTGTGTAATGGTGTTGATTGCTGTGTAATGGTTTCCCTACATTGTATAATGATTTTTTTACATCTGTACTGTATGTTAGAAGGTTTCAACCACCTCAGCACCCTTATTTCAAAGGAGGTTTTAAAGACAATGTCAAACATTTTTTTAGGAATTTTAAAAAGAGTAAATATTTCATAACTACAGTCTACGCTCTTTAGTATGACCCCTTTCCAATTATGGACACAATGTTATTTAAATGTCTGAACTGAACCATTCATATTTATAAAGTGACCAAAATTTTATTTTAAATCACATTTAAAACAAACATTTTTTTTTCATAGAATTAATGGATAGCAAAAGTGAGTACAATTTCTTTTTGAATTCTCTACAAATGGAGAATAGTACCACTTATCTTAGGTCAGCTTATGCATAATATATGGTAAAAAAGATGGTGAAACAACCAACATAACGATCGAAAAATAATGTTTTCGCCAAAATAAGTCCATTATATGTAAGAAAATATTTGTTTAGATCTTTGTACTCATTCGCTTGCATCACATGGGTCCTTACACTGAGCGTCAACTTTACAACGCAAATCTACGTTTCATTTTAATCTTTTAAAAAAGATTAAGTCATAATTTTTTTTTAATTGACATTCTTAGCAATTTAATTTATCACATAATGAGAAAAGAAACTAAATGATATGTCTTATGATTGACAGTATTTGCTATTTAAATGTGTTAATGAAAGATATAATTCTACAAAGTATAAATATTCCTACATGGAAAAAAAATTAGTACCACTTCTTAAGTAACATCTGAATTATTTCTATGAGAAGAATCTGTGTGATTATTAAGGAATAGTGAGATGAATCTTACTTTTAAATCGCAAGTAGTATTGAGTAGCAAGTTGCTGGGTTTCAAGTCTCTATGTAGCACATTTGCAGAATGGATGTATTTCAGTCCTCTTAAAATCTGGTACAAGAAATAACAAATGTGATCATTACCAAGTTTCTGTGTCTTCAATAATTTGTACAAGTCTGTTTCCATAAGACATTGCACAATATAACTGTAGGAAGGTCAAGGTCATTCTATGAACCATTTGATAGGGGAAGAACGCTCTATGATTCTGAGGAGGGAATCGATTTACAACACAACAACTCTTAGAGCAACACTTTAAAAAAAATTTAAAACTGAACTTAAATTTATTTTCTTTAAAAAAAAAAAAACCTTGGCTAGCATTTTAAAACGTCGGGGAAAAGTGCAAACAAAATTAGATTTATATTGAAGAATAGTACAAATTTTGTTTACACAAATCAAACGTTAAAATTCAATCCTATTCTTTCATTGCTGTGTGACATTATTTACTCATTTACAATAAATATAAAATAAATAGCATTTTCATTAAAATTTTAAAAGAAAATATTTCACATTTTTAAGGAAATTAAAAATTTAATTAAAAAAACACTTGGGAAAGAAATATTAATTGATAGGATTTAGTCGACTGATTTTTCTTCTTCTCAAGACTGTCCCTAGGACTGAAGAGTGGCACACCACATGCTCTTAGGGAGAGCCGATTTTACATGTTGTTGATTAGACAAAATGAAGTAATCCTCAAACAGAGGGTGTACCAATCTTCATTTTTAAGAAAAATGGGCATAAGCTGTTCTTCCAACTCATACAAAATTTAATGAGAAAAAAAATTGTTCCAACCCAAAAATTAATTAATATCTAATTTTCAAAGTTGTAGAAAAAATTTGCAATAGAAATAGAACTTTCATTGAAACTTCATTAATTGTAGCCATTTAATTACATCCAATACAGTAGTTGCTTAGAGCAGCCATCAGCATTAACATTGCCAGCAATGTAGAATGCACTGATGTGGATCAGTAAGATAAAGCAATCTAAAATAGATAATAAAAAACTACTTATGAAAAATATGTTATTACGTTGTGAAGGTTAAATTTTTTTTAAAATACCGCTTATTAAATCCAGAAATCAAAATTTAAACTTGACACGAAGGAAATTTTTTTCCATTGCAACAATGGGAAAATTTTTTGCAGTAGGAAGGTAAGTATAGCAAAAGGATACACATCTTTCATCAGGTCAATAGTTGGGGCTCTCAGTATATCACGAATATCAATAATCTGAAAAAAAATTTACATTTTCAAACAAAATGAATACAAAAAACAGAAAACTTGAAGAAAAAAATTCATGTACATACACTTATAAAGAATAAGTTATAAAACAAAATGGTCTCTATTTTTAATTTGAACATAATTCTTTTGAAATAGGGCCATTCCATTGTGACGGGTGTGACATTCAGACATAGTTTTTTGGCGTTAAATCTGCATTTCAGGAAATTAAATAGTTAATAAATACCAACAAATATTTTAATTATGTTAAACGCTGCATTTGCTTGAATAATTGAGTTCAAATAAAACTGCAAGAATTTTCAATTTTCTTTAAAAAAAAAATTTAAATCTTGTGACAGTGTGATTCTTTTGGGACATAAGTTTTCACTTGCTTCCACAATTGTAAAAAATCCTGTGAATATTGAAATGTTTTATCGTTATACCAATTTTTTTCTCTTACAAGACATTCAGATGGAACTTAATACATGTTTTGTATGAGCAGTTTCAATATTTTTAACATGCAGGAATTTTTTTTCTAATGTGACGGGTGTGACATTGTGCAAATATACAATTTTCAGAGGCTATTTTTTAAAGAAAATAATTACCAGTACAACTAGTAAACTTGACAATAGAAAATATATAATTAAATTTTATTGGAAATAAATTTCATAATTACATACAAACCATTTAAAACTTATAATCGCCTCTATTTGTTACAAGGGTCGGTGGAGGAACTTTCTTATTTATTACAGATATGTTTTCAGTCGAAATGTCTTCTTTTTGGGGGCAAATCCAATGGGGTCCACTAGGATGCATATATTTTAAGCTCACTTCTTTTTTGGAATTTATGCCTAAAATTGTAGCATAATAAAACTTACTGAGTTCTTTTTGCTACTAACTGCAGTAGAAAATGATACTAAAACATAGTTTCCTAGAACAACATCAGGTGTCTGCATGATCTGAGTGGGTGAAGGATCTACTTCTTAAGTAGCAGTGATGGTTACTTTTTTTTAAATTAGATTTTGCAGTCCTTCCAATTAACAGATTTGTAGCGTTGCTCACTTGAAAATGGTGAAGAGATTTAATTCTTTCAATGGAGAAGGAATTCTCCCATCTTGCGGATAATACTGATTTGGACTGCAATATTTGATTGGATGTCACATACAATGGTTCAATTGTACAACTTACGTTCATAGTGCAGTTGAAGAAATCCAGAGTGGAGTTTACCACTACTTTCCTGGTTTTTACCTGATGCCAAACTTTTGACTTTATTAGCCCTCCAATGCTATCTACTGCCCTTTTCCATGGGAAGTAGCAAAAAAGTTCCACTCACAATTTAATTGAAAATCTTCCTGCCCACAAGCTTGAAATTGTATACTTATTTCTGACTTGTGCCGCACAGCCATCAGATAAAATCCTTGCTCTTCGTAGCTGAGGATACTCAATTTTTTAAATCCGTTAAAATAGCATTTAAAAATGCCCATACAGCATATTTATGATGCTGACGTTCGTCCATACAGCATATTTATCATGCTGACTTCGTAGCTGAGGATACTCAATTTTTAAATCCGCTAAAATAGCATTTAAAAATGCCCATACAACATATTTATCATGCTGAAGTTAGTAGCTTACTACCACAAAAGATCGAATAATATTATGACTTTTTATTAATTATAAATTTTGCTAAATATGTTCTGTAATTTTTTATTACTTTTTAACAACATTATTTTAATTTATTTGGAAACAAAAATTGTCTAAACTCTTTGTTTTCATTTAGGAACAGTTTTTATAGTTATTTAAAATGTTGTCACACCCGTCACAATGATTTTGTCACACCCGTCACACCAAAATTTAGCCAAAAATAAAAAATTTATATATTTTTAATACTTTTTACTTATTAAGGCTCACAATAATTAGACTTTTGCAAAGTTTCATGCTTTTTCATGAAGGTATGCATTTTCTATGGCATATTAAGTATATTTTTTGCGACGGCCATGACAGAGAGACTTTATAAATATATTAGTATTAAAATTTGAGTTTTTCCACTTTTAAAGAAAGATTAAATGCTTTAAAAGATAGATAAAGGTCACAAATAGAAACATATGTATTGAAAATCAAAATGCTGTAGGTTTAAATATTATTTCTGAGTGAAATGAAAACACCCTGATTTTCCTAATTGAATTTTTTTTATATTATAATAACTTCAAGTTCAAAAAAATAATACAAGGAAAAATTTTATGGCATTTTTCCTTATTATTTCATAAACCTCATTCATTTACCTTTAATTTGATATATAATTAAGACAAATTGAATTGTTACAATTAAGACAAATTGAAATTTCAACCCTCATGTCCACTTTTACATGGGAATGCTCAATATTGGATTATTTAAATTGATCTTTACGAATTCTCGATCATACCAATATTAAAATTTACTCTTGAGTGAGGAGAATCTACAATTTTGGTTAAAACCAAGTTTCATTAAGAAAACATATGAAAGTATTGATGTTTTCTAAACTTATCAAAACCTTTTAACAGCCTTAAATAACAATAAGTTAAGAGAATCAGAGTTGCAATTCTGGTTACAAATAGCGTGTTTGTAAATAAAACACATGAAAGGTTTAAAGGCCAAAGCTTCTACAAAGTTTTTGGTAAGTTACTATAAAGTTTTTGGTAAACAGGTAAAGTTAACATTAATTATAAAAAAATATTAAGTTCTAAAATTTCTTGAACAATTTCTAAGTTAGATAGTTTTGAAATTTTAAAAATTCGAACATTTTCAGCTGTTTTATATTATAATTTTAACTTGAGAACTAAACAATTAAAAAAAGCTGCATTTTGAGTCTTTTTCAGCATTTAATTAAAAAAGAGCTATTTTATCAAATGCTATGAAAATGACATATATTTCTCTTTTTTTATATCTTATGTACTTATCTCTTTTCTAAGAATATTCCAGTCAAATTTCAAGGAAACAAATAATTAATTTGTTGCTTTAACCAATTTAGGCCACTTTTTTATTTGTATAAATGTGTTTATACATATTTGTAACAATTATTAGCTGTTAACGGACCAGTGCCAACATAATGGTAGTTTGGCACTGCTATGTATTGGGTCCAATACCCCGCATATGATAGCTAAAATATTTTACTACTTCAATCACACTTATTTTAGACATACTTGCAATTAATTTAATTGTAATTAACCATTGTAATTAGTCATAGTTATACCAGGAGCAAATCTGGACCATTAACGTATCAAATAATGCATATCAACTTACGACTTGTCAAACAATGGAAACTTGCATACAAAGTTATAAAATTTAGTAAAATAAAGAAATACATTTGAAATTAAACAAATACTTACATTTTCATGTTTGAACCTTGTAAGGATTTTAATTTCTCTCAATGTCCTCTGACAATAAGTCTGATGCTCGAAGGGTGAAATTTTCTTTATAGCTACTTTTTCCTTGGTAATAGTATCTAGAGCTGATCTAAAAATGTTAAGTAATAATGTAAGACTTAAAATTCAAAAAAATACTTTACAGTAGCACTTAATAGAATTAATTTTGTTACTTCTTCTCCCACATGATTAAAATCACTTGCTTTTTAAAAAATAATTATCGAAAATATTTAATATATAATGGGGATAATTCTGTATAGGTAACAGCTCCTTTTCAGACCTAATAAACCTAATGGTGCCAAAGGGTTTTCATACAGGCAAAAAAAATTTTTTCACAAATATGCAATGATACTTGCCTAAAATGACCACAAGTTACTTTCCTCAAATGCCCTCTTCTGAGAAGTTTTTTTTTTATAAGTTTCTCACATGATACTGCTCAGCAGTCACAAAACTTTATTTTTTGCAAAGATACCAACAGAAAAGTCTTTCCGAGATAAATCAAAATCATAAATATTCTTTTAAGGATGGTACTTTTGAAAGGCATGATTTTATTGATATTGAATGTTTTTTGCAAGAAAAATAATGATAGAAGAAAGTATGTAAATCCAAATTTGATGTTCAAAATAGACTAACAAAAAAATCTAACTATGAATGAAGGATTTAGTGATTCAAATCAAATCAATTTGATTAATATCAACTCATAGAAAAAAATATCATTCATTTAAATTATATAATTTTCTTTAATAAAAAACTTTTAAAGATTTTTTTTTTTTTTAAGATTTAGAGAAAATTTTAAGATTTATTGAATATATATTACTGTGTAAATGTATTTCTATGGGTGAGTTCTACAACACAGGGCTTCTGGAGCTCACACCAAATTCTTTCAATCGTTTGACGGTCGACTTTTCGGATGAGCCAGTTAATAGTTTTCAAGTGACATCATTCCTTCCTTACTTATTTTAATAATTTTTGATAAATATTTTAAACAATTCTATCAGAAAAACAAAGTACATCTAAGATTTTTAGAAACTTAAGGAACATTCTTACTAAATTTGGTTTGATCATTCTGCTTAAAATGCACCGATCAAATGATCAATTTATAAATTTACATTTAATATGAATTTTGATTTTGATGAAAAAGTTACAATATAAAATATAGTCAATGAAGCATCGGAAAATATTATATTTCAAAATAAAAAAAATTTGAATTCAACACAAAATCATTCGTGTATATAAAAAAAGAGAAGAATGGAACAGTTAAACTCTACTTTTAAGATTAAAACCAAATAAACTTACATATTTGTCTGCTTTTGAATAGTATATTGTCAAATTATCTTAGAGCAAGTTCCAAGTCAAGGTATTCACCCAAAATTATAATAATACTAGTCGCAAAAAATATTACAGCACTTCTAAAATGACATTTAAAAAATCTTATAACAATTTTTGTACTTCTGCATGTAAAAAGTAATTATGGAGTATGATTTCCTCTTTTCAGAAAAACTTAAAACTTTAGGTTATAAAAATCCTACCAATTTCTAGTTTTAAAACATGTTTTTCAAAACCACATTTTATTTCAATATAGCAAGTAATATATCAATCTAAATTTTGAAATACAATTAGTGAATGAAAATTATCCCAATATAGAAAAAATTGCTTAAAGGTAAATTCAGATTTTTTTTTAATTATTATTCTTTTTTTTTGATAAATGGTTAAGATAGTTTTCTGTATTGAAATTTTTCTCAATCTGGTTTAAGTAAAATAGAAGGTAGTACGATTAATTTTGCTACTTAAAAACAAAACAAAAAAGAAAGAACTGTGACAATCATCTTTTATTTTGCTCATATCAGACCTGTTTTTAAGTAATTATTAATACATTTCCATTCCACTTTTAAGAAATTTCAATAATGTATTTCCATGCATTTTGAATTAAAATAACAAAGCATTTTATGGTAGTAATAGTTTTGAAAGAATTATGGTCTTTAATTAATATTTCTGTTCTTAACCTGTCATCTAAAAAAAATCAGACTAAACAAAAAATCCAATTTATATGTTGAATGAACTTTTTATCTAAAAAAAAAAACCTTGAAGTTGGATTTTTGACAAGAGTCAAAAACCTGTCAAAAAGTGTCAGAAACTGTTGAATTCCATAAAAAATCTAGGGCAAGTTTCTTTTTTGACATTGAAGACATTTTATTATATACTAAATCATGCACAATACTTGCATTATATATTTGGTTTAATTATGATTTATATCAAAAATAAAAAATTGTGCCATAACTATTGAAACTATCAATTAGTTTTTCTAATGGTAATCTTAATACTTTAAGACCCATATTATAACTATTTGATTTGAATTACAGGTACTAACTATGAGATGTAAATTATTCTCAATCTAAATATGAACACAATTTAGGCAGATTTTTTAGATAAAGTAAAATTAATTCTCAATATTTGTCATTAATTATATTCAGGAAATCAAAATTTGTCTGACCATGTGAACAAGGCTTTGGAGGAAATTCAAGCAGCTATAAGGAAATTTTTGGTCTAAAAATTTCTACAAAATTCTTTATTGTTAAATTTTTGTCGCTTTGCAAAAATTCTTTAAACTAAAAGTGGAACCTAATTTAATTTAATAAATATTGATTTTAATATATTTTGAATTTTATTACTTTATGACACATATCCTTGTTTATTCAAGAATTATGTAAATTCAAATGAATTTTTTCTTTTATAAACTTTATTTTCCAAAAAAAGTTTGAAAAAATTATTGTACAGAAAAAAAAGCTAAAATTTTGGGGGAAATTTTGATCCAAAACAAAACTTAGTTCTCAGGAAATATTAGGCCTGAGAATTCTCTGCACTCCTGCTTATATGTACAGGAATAATTCCAAGAATAGTGAACTAATTATAATTTATTAAAATATTAACGCCTGTTTAAATTAGTTAATTTTTTCAATTAATCAATCCAAGGATATAACTAAATTACTATTAATGTTTAGTACATTTATTAGAATAAATTTCCTAGTTATAGTTATATGTTATTATTATTTTATAATAACTTTAGCACGTCTACTTTCCAGACTATGTAACTCAACATCAATCTAAAGAATTGTTTTGAATTTTGATCTTATTCATAGAAAACTGAAAAATTAACTTGAAATATAGAGGGCTTCAATTTCCTCCACCCCTGTAATTGCATGCTTTAGGGAAAGAAGGAATTAAAATGGGAGTAAATGAAAATTAATTTTATATTTTATGAGTGATGATGATGAATGAATATGATGATTGTTGAGTTTTTTTATTAAGCTGATTGCTTTTGCATTTTAATTTTCTATAATTTAACAAATTAAAAGATTCAATAAATTTCAATTTTACACAGTTTAATTTATAATTGAATATTTTCAACACTAAAATTTAGGCTCTTGACAATAATTATCAAAACAAAAAGAGAGCTTAATATCAAAATAATTCAAGAATATAATTGATTGATTACTTGTAATTTTACATGTATGTTTATATATAAATATTTCTTATTTTTATTAGCTAATTATTATCCGTACAAAAAAACTAAAGGGTTTTGGCACTTGTCAAAGACTATTGGCGATCGAAATGGGCTGCAGGTGGCGTAGAGTAGAACTCTCTACCTATGGCAACACTTCACATGCTTTCCCCACTAGCATGTGGAGAGTGATAGAGGAAGGACATACATTTGTTTCTCTCTTGATTTTCATATAGAGTTGGAAAACTATATGGAACTGAAAACTACATTAAACATAGTTCTAAAGAAAAGCATCATGAAAAATTTTAAAAAATATTTTATTAAATAAAAAGGAAAAATATTAAGAAAAGGGAAAATATCATAGTACATTCCTATACAACTGCAAAGAGGGAAAGAGGGAAGGGAGAAGGGCCAAAGGTATGAAATCGGTCTCTCCCTAGATGGCGTATTCGAGCATTGCGATTGCCAATGACAAAAAAAAAGAGAGGGTTTTGACATGACTGATAAAACCATCAATTTTCAAAGACTAGCTAATGCTGAATAAAAATAAAATTAAACTTTTAAATTATAATTTTCCAGCTGCGGGTAAAATAATTTGCAGCTTCATATACATATTTCAACAAAACTTATTTAATTAGCGATGGAATCAACACCCCATATAAATTAGTGAAACTATGTACTATCTTTCCTAAATACTGAACCTATTTTGGCAAAAACAGGCTACACTGTTTATAGAATTAAGAAACTGAGTAATTAATACACAGTTTTTTTAATGTCAATACAGTACAAGAATTATTTAATATAGAACATTAAAGGTTAAAAATACATTAACCACTATTATTATAATTATGTGCATTAAGCAACCTGGTGCTCACTGATTTAACTTTATAAACAACAAAATAAAACCAAACAATTAAACTACAAAGATAATACCTCTTTAAAGTATTTTGTCTTCAGATAATTACTTATCTTTAAAGCAGAGTTTTCCCGAGGAATAAAAAATGACAGGGTGCTTTTTCACAGCCCTTTTGAATTTTAAAAGGGCACTCATTTAACACCAAAATATTTATCAAATTGTGTAATATTATGTAATAAATGAATTTGATCCTCAACAAATTTCAGATTACCCTCTTATACTATCTTATGTATATATTTCAAAAAGTAATTCTCACACATTATCAAAAGGGAAAAATTTGTAGTTTATAAGAAAATGAAGGAAAGCTTAAAAGTTATAACTGAGCAATTTTTTTCAAAAAAAAGTAAACTAAAAAAATGATAAACTGATAAACAACTTGAAAGCTTTTTTCTAAAATTTAAACTGAAAATAATAAAAAATGAAAATTTAAAGGTGCATTTAATGAAATATATATATTTATTTAAAAAATTTTAAATCACTTAAAAAACTTATTAATATAGCCTCTCTTGAAAAAAAAAGTGAAACTATTAAAAATTTAACTGGTAGAGAATAATCCTAACAAAATAAATATTTGTAATAGTAGCCAGAATTTAACTTATAAACATAGATAACTTTAAAAGTGAGTTACTTGCTTTTTTAAATGGAATATGAGTAAAAAGGCTATGTTTTTAAGGCTTATTTTTACAAAAAGGAGCAAAGAGGTCACGTTTATAGGGATCAAAGGCCAGATAGGGGGCCCACCCTTGTAACAGTGTTTAACACTATTAACAGAAGAACACTGTTTAAAGTTTCATTTAATGAAATATTGACTTATTCAAATGATTTTATTTAAATCAGAAGCTAATTCTACTTGATAAGACATTATATAGTGCACAGCATCAGGTGAGCAGAAAATATTCTATATTAATTTATTGAAATAATTGTAAAGTATACGAATTATCTACAGTAAATTAATTATTACATGATTCAATCAATTATTGAACCATATTTATTAACAAAAACAGAGTTAAAAGATTGTAATTATTTGGAAAACAAATTAGTTTCATTGAAAAGTTGCAATTAATAAAATTTTGACAGTGTAAGTAGAAAGAATAGAAAACATAACACAAAAACATGATCAAAAATTTATAAATCAAAATATCAAACAAATTAAATATATGCAACACATAAAACAGTTTTCTTCCTGATTAAGTCTAGTTAACAAAAATAGTTTATATAATTCAAAAAATAATAAAACACTAGCTTAAAATTGCAAAGTTTATGATAGTTTTACTTTTTTAAACCAAAATTACTACAGAACAGCCGTTTTAGTAGAGGTTAATTAAGTGTATTATAATTAATTAAGAATCATCATAATTAATCACTCATAATTAAGTGTTAAAAAATTGCAAACATTTATGAAGCAAATATATAAAAATGAAACCTGAACATGCTTTATAACAATAAATAATTACAAAAAAAAAGCTAGCTTAACTTCAAATTAAAAGTGCTTGCACTTAAGAATACATTTACTAAAAAAAAAATTTCTCCAAAAGCATACCTGTCATCTTGACAGGTGAAACCGCCTGTCAAATTATAAAGAACATTCCACATAACTCGTAAAAGTGCGATTAATGCAAATACTATAAAAAATATTGAAATAAAGTGCATTACTAAAAACATTTCACTTAAAATTATATTCAAATATTGTAAAAAATAATATCTTGAAAAAGCATATGATGCTAAAACACAAAGCTTATTTCGCATCATTAAAAAGATCGTTGTTTCAATAAATGCGCAAATAAATGGGAGAAAAAAACGAGAGCAAAGTCACTTCTTTAAACAAATCATAAATACTAAGTTATCCATTGTTTAAATCACTAAATTTTTGCAAAAATTTTAAATTCAACAGGTATGATCACCTTAAATAACAGCAAATGTAGACGGCCAACATGACAAAATTTAAAAAAGTCGATTTTAATCGGTTTAAGCAAATGTTTACTTACACGACCATTCCATATGCACCTTCCCCAATATAATTTAAGTTAGTGTAGCGGGGTCCGACTTCAAAGACTTGTCCCCTTACTATTTCCGTAGTTCTTGAATCATTATCAGAAGCAGCCATTTTCTATGCGGTAACATTAAATGAAGTCACTTCTCTCTCAAAAGGTTTCTCTCTTTCCCTACGCCACTATCTCTCTATCTTCCAGCGTTTGCCAAGAGCACGTAAAAGATAATAATCATTAGAGAAACATTATTTTTCGCTTAATAAATAAGAGATAAGTGTACAAAAAAAATGCTTGACAAACATTTAAATGGCTATTTATAATAGTGATACTATTTATTTTAATGAATTTAAAACCCTACGCTTGTAATTCAAATATACTGGTAATAAATGTTGAACTGATTTAAAAAATAGTTGGTTCATAAATATTAAATAATTAATTTCATTAAATCTATAAACGTTTCAACGGTTGAGTCGGTATTTTCAGTTGTTGTATTTTACTCGGTACAGACATTTTTCACTTGGTTAAAAGTTACACGAGTCTTATTTACTGCAACTGTGATCAGATTACTAAGGTATCAAAGAGCAGACACTTTTTGATATAACTTCTAAGATTAGGTTAAACAAACCAAAGAAAATATATTTTTAAGCTACGGTGAAACTGTATATGGATTTTTAGTGAGTCCATATCCTTCATATCAAAACTTGTTAATTTCTGGTAATTGTATAGACACTAGTTTATTAATATCAATTTTATATTAATAATTTAATTTTTGATCCTGCAAGTTTTCTCTGGAGAAAATTATTTCTTAATATATTATTGCACATTGTGTACACAGCTAATAAATTTTTTATCATAATTTCCCTACCAAATTTATGCAACAGATTCTTCTAAAATTAGTTGGTTGAATGCTATCAGATACATAACTTGTGCCAAAAATATATGATGTGATTTAGTATATAATTTACTGTAAATTATTTCCGTATCCTGATCTGTGGCAGAATAATCGCCAAGTCTTGGCAACTTCCGGGCAGCGGCCCGCGAGAAACTAAAAAAAACATCACAGAAAGGGATCAACTCGAAATATATAACTCGTAGCCACCCCTGGGCCAAACATCTACATGTTTGTTTTTTTTAAAAAAATTGCAAGTTTAAAATTTATATGGCACCTTAGCGATTGTAGTTGGCACAACAGATTACGATACGGAAATATCCCCATTTTTAATGTTATGTATATTTGTTTCTTTATTGTGTTATATATTCGTTTTATTATTATTTATTCATCAGTAATGATAACTCAAAATTCTCTTTTAACATTCTAAGGATATGTTCCACTCTCTTTATAATAGGATTTTTCCGTATCGTGATATGTCGCGCCAACTTCAGTCGCCAAATGAATTTTAAACTTGGAAACTTAAAAAAAAAAGCATTTAGAGATTTGTCCCCAGTTTACCCTTTGAGTTGGTCCCTTTTATGATTTTCTTTTTAGTTTCTCCTGTTAGTTGTAGGCCACTGCCTAAGAGTTTCCCTTACTCAGTTTTTATGAACTCAAAGGTTTACCGAAACTCGTTGTTCACCATATTATACATGATTTGGTCTATTCAAGATTTTTAATTACTATTTATCATTTTTTTTAAAATATAAAATTACCAATTTACTGGTCTGGATTTCTGAATTACAGTGTGCATTTTTTATTAATTCATTTTATTTGTAATTTTGTTACTTTTTTGAGTAAATTGAATCACTTTTTCATTTTAAATTGCACTGGTCCTTTTAAAAAACATGTTTTTGTATTTTTATGTGTGAAATCTATTTTTTAAAAAATGTTTGCAGTTTGAGAACTCACTTCACGAGGTGTTGCCTCAATTTCTGGAGGAAAGAAAACTAGGTTACCCAACTTTTGATTTTAGATCATGAAAGCTAGCCATCAGAAATATGAGATTTGAAGAATAAATGTGTGGGGAATAGAAGCTATCGACCATGTCAACCTTAATCTATCAGAAAGTATTCTAAGATTGATTATAGCATATCTTTACGTACTAGTGGATTGGTGTTTAATAATCGTAGTGGTAGTTATGCCACAATACTCCCCCACCAAATTTTATCTGGGATAGAACTTAATGAATGAATAGCACTAATTGTCATATGTGTGAAAGACCGGGAGAGCTGTATTAAGTTCACCCGATTTTGAGTGCTTGTGTTGAGAACTTTATTAAGCTCACCCAGTTTTATGGATTTGTCGTGAGAGCTGTATTAAGTTTACGGTTGTGTGTGTGACTTCTCCTGTGTTGCTATTAGCAATCTAGTGTGTGCAGGTACCCTTTGTGTGTAAATAAAATTGAGAAGCAACAGCGAAGAGGACGATGGCATAGTTACAAATAGCAAGTCAACTGTTCCATGAGGACCATTCATCGAAGTGGGCGTTATTTTCGATGTAGACGAGGTCATATCACGTCACCAATGTGGAGAAAGGGTCAACTATTTTGATTGCCCGTCTCAAAAACTTTGTCTGCAATGACAAACTTGTAGAGCAGTGTAAACCAGATTATTATATAATTAACTTGTTATGGCACCACTGGTTAGCAACCAGTAAATAAACGTGAGCGATCTGCAATGCATTGAAAATCCTTGAATTTTTGTGCGTACTTTTTACTTTTTAAAAGCTTGTAAATTTCGCAATACATACTAGAAAATATGTAGGAATCAAAAAATATTTTGAAGTAAAAGAAAAAAAAAGAATATGGGTATATATATTCACGATTTGCTGTAATCACTATCCTTAATATATATTTTTAAAATCCTTGTCAAATATACTATCAAAATAATTTACTACTATTTACATAAGTAATTAACAAATCAGGATTGAGAAAGACTGGATCAAAATAAATCTGATTGACAAATGAAACTTCAAGGTGTTTCTTATCTCTCCATTAAGCAAACAGGTTTTAACATTATAAGAGCATTTTTGTTTTTTCCTTTCTTAAATATTAATTCGTGCGCAAAAATTATTTGAATTTTGACTTTATTTTCAGAAGTATTCTAAAAATATGAGAAATTTTCTGAATTTTTATTACAATTATATAGTACTTCTACTTAGACTCTAAGAATTTATATTTTCAAGTGTTCCTTTCCTACATCGGTTGAAGAACACTGCATTTCAGCAATGGTATGAGTTTTAAGTTTTTTGTTTCACCCCCTTCACAATGACTTACATTCCGAGAAGAAAAAAAATCTTAGCACTAGTACAACTAAGGTACCCATTTAATCTAACTACTGTATATTTCTTTTGAATTTTTGCAAGTACGGAAACTTTTTGGCAACTTAACAATTGTAGTGTAGTTGGCTCGAACGGCTAAGGATAATGAAATACTTCCTTCACTTTATAATTTTCATTCACATATCTATATTAAACACTATATCTATATTACCCTGTACTATATCTGTTATCTTGCACTCAAATAAGAATGCGAGGAACAGGAGGAGTATGCTTTCTGAATAAATAATCACATAAAGTTGAGCTAAATTTTATCTTTACTCATAATTTATCATGTTTTATTTTAATTTATATATTCAGTGTCATCAAACAAAAAAAGATTTTATAAGCTTTCTGTTTACTTTTCCAGGACACATGTATCTTTGAGTTGCTCAAAATAAAAGTCTCCATTTTTGAATATTTAATGTTTCCTAAAACACTTATTAGTTTTGATTTTATTTTTACTTCGACCAATTTTATCAATTATATATATAGATAGATAGGCGTAGCTTAAGGGTTGCAGACTTTTTATTTTTAGAAAATTGTTCGTTTATTTTAAGTTTTATTTGTATATGTGATTTTTTTTTTTTTTTTTTTTTTTTTTTTTTTTTTGTATGTCTATCGATATATAAATGTAGGGTGACCCGGAGTAATTCACGATAACTCTGTTTCTGGGGTAAATAATAATCTAAGTTTTATTTAAAAAAATATTTTTTTTTTTAAATTTGAGACATAGACAAGAATGCTTGTACACTTTACTAAAGTATAACTACATACTTAATAATAGTTTTTTGTTTTATCTAACAAAATAAGTATCTTTTAAAATGCTTTCTGCATTTTCCATTTCAAAGATCGGTTTCAAAATGTGCACATTTCTGCAAAGATCCCCCTCCTTCTCTTAATAATAAATATTTTGAGTTACTTTCTTTTTCTTTGATATAAAAATAGTGTAGGCTTTTGCTTAATTATTTCACATCTACTGTAAACATTATAATTGATTACAGGAAACTATATCAAATGTTGTCCCCTACAGATGGGGTAATTATTGATCACTGGGGTAATTCCTGATCATTGTCATTTCTTCTTATAAATAGTAGTATAAAAAATAGCTAATAAGTAGGTAATTGCCTTTTCTTAACTAACAGTTCATATTTATTAAGTGGAACAACTATAAAATATATTTTAACTATAATCACAAAATTTGTTTTTAACAGTATACAAGAAAAATATGTTCTGATATGCACCATTTCTAGCTTGCCTTACCTTGCTTCTATCTTAATTTTATGTGTGTACATTGTTAGAATAATTTCTAAGTCGATAAATTAACCTAATATAAATATGGTGCGAAATTATAAGTTAAAAAAGGATACTGAGCTTCTAGAAAGCAAAAATAGTGAATTTCCTTTTATGATTGAAAATGAAAATTTCAGTGTGAGAGCTGCTGCCGGAGCTGAAGTGTTAATCTTTATTCCTGATTTTAAATGAAATGTTTTATTAGCTGCTTAAACATATCTTTTTGGTTTATTTGTTTGATTTTAATGTCTTATTTGTTAATTACTATTGTATAATTATTTTTAAACAACCATTTACTATAAAAACTGGTGATCAGTAATTACCCCAGAAATGATCAGGATTTATCCCAGAATTGATCAAGAGAAGGGGTAATTCCTGATCACTATAAATTTAAAATCTTTTAAATTCTAATTAGATTTTCAAACAAAAAAAGGTAACATATGACTCATCTCATATAGCCTCAAACTTCCAGTAAATATTAAAATTCTATCTTGAATAGTTTTTTCACAAAATAGATGTTTGCATTTTTTGATCAGGAACTACCCCAGGTCACCCTATGTATAAAGCTTAAAATAAGCAGTGTCTTAACCCACTGACGGTTCTGCACGTAAAAAGTCGCATTTTAACCTGCAGTCTTCTCNCTTGAATAGTTTTTTCACAAAATAGATGTTTGCATTTTTTGATCAGGAATTACCCCAGGTCACCCTATGTATAAAGCTTAAAATAAGCAGTTTCTTAAAAGCAAAAAATGTGCCCCCTCCTCCACGCTACGCCTATGCTGATAAAGATTTATTAAAATATTTGTATCAAAACTCTTAAATAAAACCTTTTCAGGTCATTAAAGCGATCTTATGCATAAGTTCTGTGGCAATATCTGAAAATGGAAACTAAAAAGAACAGTTTAATTGCAGTTGCAGAAGAATGGAAGAATTTAGATACAACTTTTCAGGAGTTGGAGGTAACTAAGTTTAGTTGTAAAAAAGAAAGCCTGTTTTTTTCCCCTCCTCATTTTATGGTTGTTTTTGACTAAGGAAAAAAAAAATCTCAGCTTTAGTACTTTAATTCAAAGTAAACCTTTAGGTTTATATTTTGCTGGAAAAAAATTAACTGAAAAACAGCCTAATATATAATTTTCTTATGTAGTACAGTGGAGAACCAATTATCCTGGATGCTCAGGACCATCGCTATCCCGGATGTCTGAAATTCCCGATTTTCTGGATCGGCTGAAAAGTGCCTGTATTCGATGTTTTATCAAACCTAGATTACAATGAAAAGGAGTAATACATTTTAAAATAAGAAAAGTTCTCCTAAATTTAATAAAAAATGGTAGAAAAATAACATTTAAAATAATAAAAACATTTACAAGTTTTGACAAGAAACATAAATATTAAAACCCTGGACAAGACAAGATATTATAAGATCAACTGAATTAAAAAAGAAACTTAATCTTAAAATTTATGAATAAAAGGAACTAATTTATTGAATACGTAATTTATTGTAAACGTAGAAAAAGAAAAAACTCAAAACGTAGTGAAATCAGAATTATAATACTGCATAAAAATAATTGTTTGCTATTAGTAATAAATAATTGTATTCTCAGATTAAAAAACAATATTATCCTTAATTTTTTTTATAAAAATAGACGATTTTTAGCGAAAGCAGATGTAATTCCACAACAAGAAAAAATTTTAAATGATACCTGAGGAATCAGAATTTAAAAGTTGAAAAATATTGTATTCTTAATTGATGGATAAATATAACAGGCAATTAAAAAACGTTTTGTTCTTAAGAATTCATCATAATAATATTGTATTATCTGAAATTATAAAATAATTTGTCATAATAAATCAAGGATAACAAAACTGAGTAACTAAAGTGGATTAAAAAAATTCTAACATACCAATACTCTTAATTTTCTTAACTCAGACATCCAATTGACGACACTCAAAAATGATTAAGAAAATAGAAGAATCTTGAAGATGCACGCTGGTTGCTTAGTTGGCTATCAGAATCAAACTGACTACCTCCAGCGGGCGACAACTTAACCGATTGTGCCACAATGCAATAATCATCACTGATTATTTAAATTATTGACTATGATAATATTGTGATTATTATCAATTATATAATGCATTAAAACTATAATATTGCAAATACAATTAATGTAACAATTATTGAATAGAATATTATTGTGAGTATTGATAAATTTTTTTTTGCTTATGAAAGTAAAAAATTGGGATGTAACAAATAGTGATTTGGCCAAATACTGAATATTGGACAAAATACCAAACTTTTTTTTTAAAAAAAAAGGAATAATTAAGAATATTCAGGGTTCGTAGCATTTTTTAAAAAGTGCTTTAGGGTCCTTTTTTTTCAATTTTCATTTTTTAAAGGCTCTTAAAGGTGTTTTTATATAGTATACTACTTAATTTATTTTTTTCCCATAATGAGATTTTTTTAACTTTTCGAATTTTGTCACGAATTACACAAAAAGCTAGGCTTTCACATTGTTCTATTTAACGTATTCACAATTTATTCAACCACAATCCATTTCGGTGTACTGACAATCTGTAACGTATGAAAGCGCAAATCATTTTACATATTTGATTACACACTTACAAATCCGCATGTGCATATACTGAGCTGAATTCAATGGAAAGGATTAAGGATTCTTGCACTCTCATGTGCAACTCTGCTGCATTTTGCAAAAGATTCTTAATTTCAGGCTTCATTTTCCACTCTGAAATTAAACCAAAAAATCTCTCAAATTTTTGTTGATCTCAGGAATTATTAACTAAACATTGCCAATTTTTTACCATCATAGCAAAAAACTTTTTTATTTCTCTTCCTAAATTCGTTATTGGTGAAGTGCCATGGTCTTCCTCACTGGCAAGCTAATGACCTTCTCTCGCTATTCTATATATATAGATCAGTACCTAAATTTTTGAACTTGACTTGGGGTTCATTCACTAATTATGTATTTTTATATGGGTACCTAGAACAGTCAAGAATCACAAAGCTTCATCACCTCAAAATTTCCATCTCCTTTTATTCATTTAATTTAATAAACATAAAAATTAATTGAGATATTTATATGTAAAATTTTTACCTGCTGACTGACCACTAATTTCATATTTTTTTAAAAACTTTTATTGTGCTTTATTACTTTTTATTATTGTATTTTTACTTTTGTAATTTTCAGTGCTATGAACTTGTTTTATGGAAAAACAATTTCTAATAAAAAATAGGATTTTAGTTTATTCTTTATTAAATCTATTTTAATCCCCCCCCCCCAAAAAAAAGAGCCATATTCGAAAAATACTTTTCCAACTAATGAATATTTAACCAATTATTCGGCAAAGGGCCGAATACCGAATAGTGGTTGCATTATATGTTACATCCCTGGTAAAAAGCATGCACAAGAAATTGAAAAAATATTGCAATTTATTTTTAAATATTCATATTTTTTGACAACATATTGTGATATAAAATTTTTACTTATGTGAGTAATAGCAGTCAATGTTCATGTTGGTGACAAGTCAAAAAATAGTCGCCTGCACCTGTTCTCTATAGCTGATAAGTACTTAGCATTTTTTATGTTTTGAACTCTCAATGACCTGAAATCTGCAAATCCTCACGCCTGTAATGTAGTTTGCGACACGAGGATATGTGTCAACAAACTAAATTGCAAATTTAGATTTTCTTTTGAAATATTGAAACATAATTTAATATTATATTGATCATGTTGAAACAAAGAGAAAACCTTTTACAAAGTACAGTTAGCAAGGTTTATGTTTGAATGACTTAGTTGTGTCAATTCTCTAATATTTAAATTATTTTCACAACATTTTTCTAATTTCTATTTTATTTGTTCAGCTGCTCAGCTGCATGTTGAATTTATCTTTGTCATATATTTTCATTTTCAAGACCAATAATCTGTTATTATTATCTGTTTTTGAATATGTTTTCATAGAACAAAATTTTTTTTAGGCATTACAAAAATCATGTTCTAAAGCTGTGGCAAATTTTAAAAAAGTTGAAAGTGATTTCAAAAAGTCAGTCACCAATCACATTAAAGGTGTTGCTCGTATATCAGAAACATTAAAATGGTAAAGGCAACTATTTTAGTTAATATTTTTTGTAAGATATTCTATTTTTTCTGTCATCAAACTAAATAAAAATTCGTTCAATTTTGTGTTTTTTATATACTTTTATGTTTATGTTTTGTTGTTTTTATATACTTTTATGTTAAATGGCCTTATTCTTTTCAATTTAATATATGAGTAATTTTGTTCTTAATGTCAATACTATAAACCAGGAGACTCACCATTCCCCATATCAAAAGGAAAGGAAAATATTATTTTTTTACAAATCACGAGGGAAAATCTTTCACTTTGCTATAGCTGTTAATACTTTAAAACTTTCACTTATCTAGACCCCTGTAAGAAAATTCAACTTAAGCTGTAAGAATAATCCTTCCCCTCCCTGAAAATCTAATTTGCAGCTAATAAATAATCAAAAAGTGAGGAGGAAATTGTGGAGTGGTGGGTGAAAAATAAGTGTCTTATTCGTGAGGTCATTTTACATAATTAGCAAAACTGTTATCAGAGCTTTTTGCCCTGCCGTGTAAGCAAAGTTGTTTATTAGAGATTATTTTACATTATTCAGCTATTTAAAAGAATTGATTCTTTTGCTAGTGTGTTTGCACATGATCTAAGCCTTTAGACTCATCATCACAGATATTATTTACTTCTTCTCATTTTGTAAATAATTATAACAATAAAATAAATTATTAAATATCATGAAATCTGTAGTAGTAATTGCCAAAAAAAAAAAAAAAAGATCTGTGGCAAAATCACAATAATTGGACTCCTCACATTCGTGTTTCATTTCAAGAATAGGTTGTTGTATTGTATAAAAAATATTCGACGGAGAAATTAATAGCAATAACTTCCATAAATTTGATGGAATTATTGCCTTGAAAAATAAATACTCAAAATGCACGATTCGAATTTTCCATAATGTTTGAAATATATTGGAATGTTTAAAAAACCATGTGAAAATCAAAATGAATAACTGCTGAAATAAAATCGAAACATTACATCGATTTACGATACTATCGGTGCAAATTTAGCACATCAAGAAGTGATTGTCTAAATGCATGCTTCAAATATTACGTGTAAATTTCTGTAAAGAAGAAGACTAAAATTTTTTACTTTTCAAAAGAAAAATCTTTCTGAAAGAACTCTAAAGTTCTGCGACAATGTCGCCGTGTCGCTGCGATTCTGTCACAGGGAAAATCAGGAACAGACCAATGATTATTCATTTTATGTGATCTTAGTCATGTTTTGGTAGTTATGAGCCGTATAAACTGCCTTATTTCTGGATGAGGACCGGTGGAAAGAGACAAAGTAACTTACATTTGATCTCTGAAACTTTATTGTAATTGCTTCAAGCAGTGTAAAAACGAAAATCTAATTTTGTGAAATTATATTCTAGTTATTATTTAAATATGATTATTTTAATTTATAAATTTTTACATTTTTTAATTATATCTCTGCAGTTGCCGACCATCATCTGAAGATGAAAGAAAGGAATATTATGAACTGAAAAAGAGTGTAAATATTAGAAAAGAGGAATTGAACAGTATGTCTGCTACCCTACCGAAAGATAGTGGGTAATATTTTATTATACTTATTCAGTGAAACTTCAGTAATTCAGAGGAGAAACAGAAGTCGTAAATGATGGAAAATAGAATTGTGAATCTGTTAAAAGTTTTAAATTGACCAACAAAGCATTATTATTATGTCAAAAAAAAGTAATTAATAAAAAAAAGCAATTAATAGTATAATTTTTTGTTGAGAGTTTTTAAATTTTACATATATTTTTAAAAATATGAAAATATGTAGCATGCACAAAGTATAAATTCTTATCTGCTGCTTCTAATAGTGGAATAAATTACTTTTAGCTTAAACTTTTTTTATAAAAGTTTAGGCTATATAATCATAATTTAAGTATTAAAACATTTTTGTTGTCTGGAAAATTCCTCAAAATATTTTAAAACACTGATTGTGTGAATTTAAAAATTGTAATTTTTTATCTATCACTCTCTAGACACTTCTTAGAGTTAGGTTCAAATAATATAAGCCTGAAAGAAACTGCCGTAAAATAGTTTTCTGTGGGGGTAAAAACTAATTGTAAGAAATTGTTGAAGTTTGCATTTGGCGAAGACTTTCGAAAATTGGCGAATACTTTTGATATTTGGCTAATAATTTGAAATCCTTAACATGGGCCCTGAGATTCACTTTCACACCAGAATCAAATGTTTATGCCCTAGTTAAAATTTCAAGAGTTCTATTTATCTATTATGGAGTACAAACTATTGTTTCAACATTTAAAATAGTTTTGAGTTGTAAAGAAAGTAATTCAATAAGAAGTTGAAACAAATAAATAGGTAGATTCAACTAACGTTAACACTCATAAGATATCAGTTTCTTTATTTTATTTATTGGTTGTTTCCTATATTTTTCTAACAATTTGAGTTTATTTATCTCATTAGTGTATAAAAACTATAAAAATATGAATGTTGTGCTATGGATATGTAATTTTATTTCAATTCTTAAAAATGTATTAAAGATTGATTTAAATATTTCTTTTTTAGATTATACTTAAAAATAACCCTGGGTAGCGTCAATGTTTCATTGCTGGATGAAGATGCTAAGTAATTGTTTTTTTTTTATTATTATTTCTTTGTGCAGATTGTATTTTTTATTTTAACTAAGAGGTATTTGAAAGTATTGTGAAATTAATTTGGATAATTAAAGACAGCAATTTTTGCAAACATTTAGAAAATTGTTGTGAAATCAATTTATCTGTCTATTTAGAACAAAGAATACTAACTCTTCTGAAACCATTGCTTCTTGATACTTTGAAATCATAAGTAAACATTATTTTGATTTAATATTATAATAATTGCAATATTATGTTTTGATATGGTTTCTTTTGTGATTTCATCATTAATTCTTTTTTTTTTTTTACTTCTGTTAACATTTTAAAGAAGTTTATATTTTTCTTTATTGTAAAATAATGGGGTGAAAAGATTTTTGTCTGGCTAGCATCTTTAATACTGAAATTTCCTGACTTCTATAGTATAACGATGCACAAAACTGAATATCTACTAACTGATTGACAATGTTAATTTTAAATATGCTATTTTATTACACTGTAAAAAAAAAAATTTAAAAAAATCAAAATTTTTATTTGATTCAATGCTATAGAAACAAGTATGTTTTTATTTAATTTTTTGAGTGAATCAGTTTTCGAAAATATTTTATCCGAGTTGATTTATGTCTAATTTTGACTTTTTTGTTGTGAACTCAGTAATCACGTTTGAATTTTGGTTTACAGGTACAAATATAAAGATGAATATGAAAGATTTAAGCTAATTGTTACTATTTTTGTTTTGATTCTGTCGTACATCAATATATTTACGACTTACAAGTAAGTGAATTAATATTTAAAATTTTTTTTTTTATATAAATTTTCATATCCGAAATCTAATTTTAAGTGGGCTCAGTTACACAGCTGCATTGACAGCAATAATTTTATAATTCCTATATTTCTTATTTTTTAAAAAATTGCATAATTGTCTTATTTTCTATTCCATTTTCCTTTGTTCACTAACTTTAAAAATGATAAAATTGCTTTAATTTTTCTGAAAACAATGGAAAATCATTGAAGCATTTTTTTAGGAAAAGAGCAATTTGTTCTTACATATTATCCCTGCAACCATTTTCGCTAAATCGAAAAATAAATTTGAAGGTGTTTCAAATTTAAATATTTTCTGATTTATATTCAATTACTATGTAAAAAAAAAAAAAGGAAGATACCACAATGACTTTATTGTGGTGTTAGTGAAAAGTATTGATGGGATAATACCTAAATATTGAATAATTTTTAATTGAAATCTAATAAAAGTTCAAATATATTCTATTTGTAGTTAAACATGGTTCTATCTATTTTCATATTGGAGTAAGATAATTTTTAATTACTGTTAAGAATATTAGTGTGTTTTTTTTCTCTACATTTTTAATACGCGAAATCTATGGTGTAGTTGCTACGAGACTACAGCTACGAGATGTTGTACGGTTGATATGACGACCCTTGTGATCCAAAGGAAAATGGATTTTATAATGTAAGGTCTTTATATCGTGAGTGCACAGAAGTATATTAAATATTTACACATAACTCATAAATATTGAACTTATTTTCTTAAACCCATTATTCTTCTATCTTTAAAATTTTTAGTTTCTGTTATAAGTGTATGGTTAATGAGCAGTGCTATTTGAATAATTGTGTAGATTTTTTGGAGGAATTTTTTCTGAGCTAATATTTCTTTGTCTTCTCATGACCTATTTTTATTATAAGAAAAACTGAAGAAGATTATAATTTAAAACTGTAAGATAATAATTTAAGATAATTTTTTAATTTACTTTTACTGCCAAATTGCCCTGTACAGAATGTCAATTTGCATATAAAAATAACAATACTTGAAAATATTTTAACGCAGTATTATTCCATTTGTCTATTTGAATAATGTGTAATACTTCACCCAATAAGACAGCAGCATATCTGGTGAATGGTCCATCGAAAAATTTCTACTGTTTTTTTATATTTTACTAATGACATGAATGTAAAATGCACTCAATAACATTTTTCTAAAATGAATAATTTCCATAAAACAAAAACAAAAAAATTATATGCAAAATGCCGTCAAGAAAAGGTTTCCTGGGATCTGGTAGTCACCCTGTTTACTCAATATGAAATTTAAAATTAAAAGAAAAAAGAGGTCTTAATGAGATTTTTTACTTATACGTGAGATTTTTTATTTTTTACTTTTACTTTACTTATACGAAAATTGACAAACTTTGCATAAAATTGAATTGTAGTCAAGTACTAATTTGTTCTATGAAAAGTAAAAATTAATTTAATAATTTTTCTTTCAAGCATTTGATTTATTAAATATTTAATCCGTCAATAATTTATGAACAAATTACCAACTATCACTATTTTTATTAATGCTATTCTCTTATGCCAAAAAAAGAACTTTTAAAAAAATTTGAAGATAGTAAACAACCGTGTATAGTGAACTTATTGATAGGTCAGCGCAGACAGTTCACCGAGGTTCGACTGTTCTTTATTATATTGTGGGGACAAAATGCCATTTTTCTCACATATTAAATAGAAGATAATTAAATGCTTGTAACAATCACAGTGCTGATACTTTTTCTCGTATCATTTAGAATAATCTGGTGTCCTAAAATCTAATTAAAAATGATTATTATAATGTTACTTTTCTTTTTAATCAATGGACATTTTGTATAAGTACTGAATATATGTATTCATAAGTATCTGTAGAATTCATAATTAGCTGTTAATATTGTTTCCATTTTTTGAGATATACCTTATAACATTTTTGAAACATGCAGTTTGTGGTTAACTATGAAAATAATCAATGTCAAATGTTTTTGGTAACATTTTGATTTTATTATAGAACTTTAGATGCAATACTTCATTTCCTTCTTGTGTGGTATTACTGCACCTTAACTCTGAGAGAAAGTATTTTGGTTGTAAATGGCTCAAGGTAAGAAAACTTTTAATTTTTTCTTTTTAGTATGAGTGTTTATTTATTCAGCTAATTCATTTTTCATTCAGTTTTAATTAATTCTGAAATATTTGGAAAATTAACACTGCATTTAATATTGTTTTTTTCTGTTCCTTTTTATTGAAATACTTCTGGTAAAAAGTTATAAATTTTTTTTAAGCAGGGTTTTTATAGTCCATATAAAAATTAAAAAGTGGTATAGATATTGTAATAAAAAAGTTATAAATTTCTTTTAATTAACTTTCAATTTAAAATTCAAAATTCAAAATCCATGATTTTTCAACTGCACATATTTATTTGGAAATTTTAAGTCATTGAAATATATCCTTCCCCCCCCCTCCCCCCTACTGTTGCTACCACTTTCTATGTTTTTTAAGGACCCTACGAATCCTGTGGAGGCTTTTAGTTTTAGTTACACTTGTTACGATTTTTACAATGTTGCGTTGAGTCCTAATTTGATGTTTTATTTATTTTTGCCTCTTTAAAAATGATTGTGCACCTGTAACTTTAATATTAAGAGGAAGCAACCTTTTATAAAATTTGTACATTGAAGTATCTGATAGAAGAGAAATATTTTGTGCAGTTCTCAAAAATATTTTATTTATATTTTATAGGAAAAAAAACCATTCTACTTGATTTGAATTGTTTCATTTTTTCTAGACAATGTGAATTGGTGTTGTCTTTGATTTATACAATTTTCAGATATAAATTTTTTTTTTATTGATTAGAATCAAAGGCTGGTGGAGACTTCATCATTTTATAACTACAGTTCTGGCAGGGATACTAATATTGTGGTGAGTAAACTTTAAATTCGAAATGCCGATCATGTTGGAGACATTTTTACTTGAACAATGATTCTTTTTTGAATAATGTTGAGAGAAACTACTTTTATGTGTGAGAAAGCAGTTGGTCAACCAGTATTAATTATGCATAGCAAAAGTGACTAACTTTTGGCATACCATGAAATATTTTTTTTTTTATGTTATTCAAATTTTGTTAGAAATAATCGTTAGTTGTTTCAAATCATGAGACCTATGCTTAAATTACATTCATGTAATATAAGCATGTAATATAATTGTTTACCTCATCTCAAGTGGTAAACAAAAATGTTCAACTTTTATATACCTTGTCCGCGATAGATTATTGTTTACTTGCTGGAGTTGTGAGTATGATACGGAAGAAGTGTACCAAAGTTTAGGGTTACTGTAAAAGGAATAATGGTAATTGGAATTTAGAAACGTATTTAATACTGCTAATTGGATGACCATGATAATAATCGCGATTATTAGCAAAAAAAAAATGTTCTTTAATTGTTGAGAACATTTATTTTTTAAATTTATTGCCATAAATTTTAGAAATATCTGTGTTAATTTTTTTGCTTTGTTTTATTCTAGGCATGAAGCAGAATCGTACCAGGCATTTAGGCGTCAATTTATGTTGTATTCTTGCTATTCAAGTAAATTACATTATCAATTCTTTTATGGTTTATTGAAAATATGTTTCACTGCTGATTTGAATTTATGAATGTTTCACCTTAAACTTGCTCAGTTTGAAGGCAGAGCTGAAAATTTACATGTATCAATAAGCTTTCTTACCAAAAACTGGTAAGAAAGCTTATTTTTATGAAGAATAAAATATCCATGACTACCAAGATTTTTTTTAAACAGTTATATAGAACTACTTCATACTTAAGAAAAAGTAAATAGTTGTGTATTTGAAAGAATTTATTTCCAAAAACCGACTGTAATTTAAATAGTTTTCCCTTTTCTATCTCACTCCTGTTTGAAGACTTGCTATATATGAACTATCATGTTAAAAGTATCAATGGGATATCTTGAAATACTTTATCCTTATTGTTTCCATCACTCCTTTTCATTCTATTCTCTGATCGTTGCATTTTTGTTTCTTACATTTTTTCATTTCCTACTTCACCTTCTCATTCCTCCTCTCAATAAGTAAACAATAAATATATATATATATACATATATTTAAATAAGATTTTGAACAAGGCTTTGAAAAGTTGTACAGTGTGTTAAATTATTTGTTGAACAAAAAACGTTCTTTTGAAACATTGTTAGATATTCTTTTAATTATTTATTTGAAATAGTTAAGTTGTATTGACTAATGGTCAAATACTATGCATAATAAACGCATAAATAAAAGTGTTTTTTTTTATTTATTATATATATATTTTTTTTTTTAAAAAAAATCAACTTGAGTTCTATTGGTTTGAAAATCATGCTGAGTATCTAACAAATTGTTGAATAAACAAATATGGAAAGAATTTTAANGTTAAGTTGTATTGACTAATGGTCAAATACTATGCATAATAAACGCATAAATAAAAGTGTTTTTTTTTTATTTATTATATATATATATATATTTTTTTTTTAAAAAAATCAACTTGAGATCTATTGGTTTAAAAATCATGCTGAATATCTAACAAATTGTTAAATAAACAAATACTAAAATCAATAGTATTATTGTTAAATTAATAAGAAAAACTGCTTTTAAAGCCTCATTTTTACTCATTAACACTTTTTATTTAATTAAAAAAATTTAATCATTTTAACTAAGAGCCAAATTTTTTAATTAGAGAAAGAGAGGAAGACGCAAACTGTGTTTTAATTTTCTCGAAAATAAAAACAGTATAGAATTTAGAATCATGATTAAAAAAAAACTTATATAGTTGAAAATTCTTAAAAAATTAAGAGTAAATGGCTAGAAAAACTAACAAAATACACCTAAGATTTAAAGGAAATGTAGGCTTTGTTTTAATTTTTTATAGTTAAAAACAACTGAGGATTTATTGGTTTAAAAATTCTGTCTAATTATTATGCTTACGTGCATTAAATAAATTTAGAAAAGTAAATAACTTTTTATAATAAAGTATAAATCACTTAAGTACAAAATACTGCTATTAAATTGTATCACTTAAAATGAAAAAATTGTTTTTATTCGTAATTTATTTTCATTAATAGATTTAGTTCAGTACAAACATTCAAGATAATAAATCAAAATAACAAAGATTGCAAAGTAACAGTATGCCTACTGAAATTAATTGACAAGAAACGTTAAATCCCAACAGACAAAATCCCAAAGAAAAAAAATGACTTGTCAAAATAATATGCAAATACTGTTAAGTATTAGAAGTTGTTCTGAAACTATTTAACTAAAAACGTAAAATTCCAGAGGGAAAATGGCGCATAAAAGAACTATGCATTGTGCTCTACATTTCAACGTCGTGAAGCGAGCTTTGTTTTCGTAGCAAGACGAAATCAATATATTTTCATCTAGATTATTGTTCTAGATCTCAGCATACTCCCTCTGAGGGGCGGGGGGAGTATGCTGATGGGTGCTGAATTTGTTTTGGGCAGTAGAGGGTGGATGGGTATGTTTTGGGCGGTAGGGGAGCAGTTAGCATGTTTGGTTATTCAAATTTAATTTTGAAACTCAGAAATAAAATTATTAAAATTAATTTAATAAATAAAATATTAAATTACATTAAAGAAAAAAGAGGTTAAATTAATGTAACAAATTAAGATCTGATTCAGCATTTGTAGCAGTAATAAAACGAACTTATGTGACACCTATTCTCCAACCTGAAGCATGAGTCTGTTATTTTGGCCACATTCTAGCGATTTGGCACATTCAAGCTATTTGGCGAAATGCATGCGCTATCAGTATGAATGTTTGATTTGGCCCATGCTTTTTAGTGTGGTTTTCGTTCACTTCCTTTTATTTTTACCCCAGTTTTGTTTCAATTTCATTGTTTATTTGGCCAGGTACATGTGCAAATTAGTTCTTTATCGTAAATTATTTATTAATTTTGAGGAATATGAGTCAGAATGAATATGGATTTCTTTCATTGTTTGTATTTTGCTGCCGCCTACAATGTCGGTTAGCAAGAAGAAGTGTAATTTGTAATTTTTCTACTCCAAGATGCAGTTCTTCTTCAGCTGCGTCCAATATAATCAAAAATGTCTTATTAAGCACCGATACAGTGCAGCGACGAATTGATGAGGTAGCTGAAGACGTTGAAGTTTTCTTATGCAAACTTTTAATATCCAACGAATTTTCCCTTCAAGTTGATGAGTCAACCTTGCCAAGTAATAGAGCTTTACTGATGGCGTACGTCTGGTTTGTGAAGGAAGGAAAAATCATTCAAGAAATGCTTTTTGCAAGAAGCTTTGTTGAACATATCAAAGGTGGATTTATTTTTAATACTGTCAAAGACTACTTAAAAGAGAAAAACATTCCTCTTGCTAATATTATGTCTGTTTCCACTAATAGACCTTCTGCAATGGTGGGTCGACATCTTGGTTTTCTCGCCTTTTTGAAGAGGGAGGTACCAGATAGTTTAACTGTTCATTGCGGAATTCACAAATAGCATTTAGTTGGAAAGAATCTCAGCAATCGTTTGTATCAGTCATTGCAATATGTCGATCTCTGCTGTCTGCTATGAACAAAATTTGCAGTAATGCTCTCAACAATCGATTATTCAGAAGCTGTGGGAAGAAAGAAAATGCGATGAATTCAATCGCTTGCTGCTACAGACTGACATTCGCTGGCTTTCGTAAGGCGCCTATCTCTATAGGTTTTAGAATATTTTCGACTCTGTACTTGAGATCCTCGAAGGCAGAGATGTAGCTCTGAAAGACAGATTGATAGAATTTAAGATAGACGTTGCATATATGGCGAATTTATTTGCAAAGCTTATTGGTGGTCAATTTGATCACTACAAGATCAGTTATTTCTGCCATTCTAAAAAAAACTCATTTTGTAAAAGCAGAATTTTGAGTTCAGCCAATTTCCAATCTTATCGGATCTTAAAAAGAATGATGAAATTTCCTCTGATACTAAAGAATATTGTCAGAACCTTGAATCTTTACGTATGGACTCTTCTGACCGATTTAAATATGTTTTGTCTCTGGAAGTCCCTCAAGGGTTTATGAACCCTTTTGCTAATATTGAAGCAACACAGGTTCAGATTCAGGAGGAATTGATCGAACTTTCAACTAATGAAACTTTGAAATGGTGATCGACTCACAGAATTTTGGCTTCAAGGTAACATTAGTCACCTCTACCCTAGACTGTGAACTATCATCAAAAAATTTTTAATTGCCTTTCCTTTCTTCTACCTTGCTGAACAAAGATTCTGTGATGTGATGGATCTAGTCACAGAAAAGAGAAAACGAGGGGACTTGCATCTTCACCTCACGAAAAAATTTGAACCGTATGTTAAGAAACTGGCTCTAAACCAAGTACAATCATCTCACTGACCACTGACATAGTTACTTGATTATTTCGTTGATACTACTTTTTAGAGTAAAAAGAGATATTTTTGGATGTTTTGAATTATCTAATTAAGAAAAAAAGACTCTTTTTAACCATAGGTTTCTTTGTTGTAATTTTTTTTTTCATTACCGTATTTATTTTGATTATAACAAATAGACTGCAATTACCTGCCAGGAAAAAAGTATCGGTTAACATGCACACTATTTGAAGAAAAAAAATTTAATGAGTAAGAAAATTGCTGTCAAATGTTGCCTCTTATAATTCAGCTCATCCCCTCTGTCCCCATGCTCTAAATAACTGGACTTTCATAAAGGGGCGTTGATATTTTTTCTGCTCCCTAGGAGAGCGACAATGTGAAAAAGGTTGAGAATCTATGTTCCAGATGAAATCAAAATCACCTTCATCAGCACTGTAACAACATTAGCGTAGGCAAGAATCCTCTCATGTTATATTGTTAAATTGCAGGCTTCCTCTTACATTGGCAGCTTAAATCAGAATTTTGCTTTATTTTATAACCGTCATTGAACAGCCGACTCAATTACGAGTTTACTACTACTAATGTACAACTCCATAGCCTTTTAATTTTAAACCCAATCCAGAACACAGGGAAACTCCTTGATAAAAACCCCCAAAGGTATGATTTGCTATGGAAACACGGACTTTGTGACCCGACAGATTTAACGTGCATCAGTCACCATTTACTACACAGGAAGTTTTCGGCCGGCAGGGATCGAACCTACGACCTCTTGAACATGGGCCCAGTGCCCTACCAACCTGGCTATCCTGTCCCGATTAAATCAGAATTGTGATGTTTCGCAACACACAAAATCCGGTATGTCAGCGTGACGATATTTGTGTTAAATTGATAATTTGCGATACATCAATTGCGATACCCAGTTCTAGTCATTTTGTTTTTATTTGATTCAAAATTTTGCACCAACTGGCCAGGTGGCAGAGTGCTCAGCGTGCCTGACTGTATATTCTTCTGCTTTTACTATGTTTTAGAATTTGATTGTTTTTCTTAATTTAATGTTAAAAACTAAAAGAATTGTTTCTTTACTATAGCGTTATTCTTGCCTTATTATATGCTACATCTTAAAATAAACTTACTTGAATCAGTATTTGAACTCATTAACTATTTTACAATCATTATTTTTTGGTGTAAATTATATAAATATGCTATTATAAATTTAAATTAAAGAGATTAATTAAAGGATTTAGAACTTAACAATCAGATGTAATGCATGCCGATTCAATATAATGGTCTGTTTAGTAATATTAAATTACGGTTGTAAGCTCACCAAATTTCGTATAACAATATACATTTATGTATAGTTCCTAGTATTTTAAAATGTTTTTGTTATCTACCACAGATCAAAAAAAATTAGCAGCAAATGTCATTCATGTTACTTTCAAATAAAATCTAAATATTTATGCAATTATATCCATGTTGGTCTCCATAGTTTTTGTGGTACCCTATCCAAAAATATTCTATGATTTGGTTCTTAGCATTTGCCATTAATTGTTTGCAGTTTTTATGCACTAATTATAATTTGATGTCTTAGGTTTTCTGCAGTTTTTACAATACAAGTATCAACAAGGATGTTTGTATCGATTACGAGCTTTGGGAGAACGCTATAATATGGATATAACACTTGGTAATTACATTTTCATCTATAGACATATTTTTAGTTAAACTTTTATTTGAATCAATTCTTGAATCCTCGTCTTAAATAATGAGTTTTAAAATTTTTGATCTGAAATATTTAAGCTTTTTTAATGCTAGTGGGTAATATAAAAGGCAACCAAACAATGATTACTTAAATTTTAACAAAAAGAAAAATCAAAATTTTTTTTTCTTCTTGTTATTAGAAGGAAGTGTTATATATTTAGCCTTGAAACATGAGGAAGTGATCATACAGAATTTTATGTTATGTTAGTCGTTTCACAGATCAATCTTAAAATACTTTAAAACACAAATATGTTCTTAAGTATATATTATTACCAAAAAATTTAAATATTCTATAGGTCATTAGAACTAATAGCAAAATTTTTTGTATCAATTTTGGTTTCTTTAGCTTTTGACATAATGAGCAATAATATTCAATAAATAATAACAGTTTAATAAGACAAAGAATATTTGAATTGAACGACAGGTTTTGGAATGTCCCACAGTTAGGCTTTGAGAGATTTTTTGTCAGAGCAAACTGAAGACACATGAATATTTTCTTTGATGTTGTTTCAAAGAAAAATTCAAATTGTCGATTGAAACAAATGCGTACATTTTTCATAAAAAGCTGAGGCAGTAGAAAATACGACAAAGCATCTGACCTTAGACTGTCCAGCTACAGATCAGTTGAAATTATTATTGTTCATCATAAATCATGTTCTAAAATCAAATTTGTACAACTGCTGTTAAGACAATTTTAAAAAAAGCGAGACCTGTTGAAACTAAAGGCTACTTCGCTTTGTGTTGCTGCTTGTAGCTCACTGTAAACTGTACTTAGCAAATAATAATAGCCTGATTCGTGTGAGTAGGTAACTTCAATTGCATTAAATAATTTTAGGCACATTTGTCATTTTCTAGAGGGCTAAGCATGGCAAATAGAAGAGTTATGAGGCTGTAAATAATTTTAGTTCAATCCTTCTGTGAATTGGAAAAAAATTACAATTCATTTACCAGACACTTTTTTTTCTATCAAAATAATTTTATGTTTGTGATCATAGTAAAAAAAGATATAGATAAAAAAATTCTTGCTGCTTTTTCTATACCTTAATTTTTATTCTGCTCCAATAATCACACAAAAAATTACGGCAGTTAAAGCAAAACAAATTTGGTTGAGGAGAATAAACTATGAATATTAATAGTTTATTCTGCAAAGTTAAATATTAGTAGTATTTGAAAAGAACACTTATTATTTATTAGCACCTTTAAACAACTATTATTTATTAGCAGACTAGCTTTGTTTCCCTTTAAATTATAATTGTTTTTATTAACAAAATCTGTAGATTTTCTACTATAATTGTAATTAAATTGATTAGAAAGGCTTAAAACAAAACTTTAAACTATTATTATTTATTCTTTTAAAACGTCATTTGAAAATATCTATCGGAATTTAAAAGCCATTATTTAGCTATTTATTTTTAATAATTTTAATTAATTTATTTATTTCTGAATTTTTTGTTATTTTATTTAGATGGCTTCCATTCTTGGATGTGGAGAGGTTTACAGTTTTTACTGCCTTTTCTGATACTTGGATATGTATGTTTTTTTTTTTTTTTACATTTATCTTTAAGGGGCCATTCCAAAAGTACGTACATCCCGAAGGGGGGGAGGGGATTTGCTATTATGTACGGTTTTGTACCATGCATTATTTAGTTTGCATATCATGCATTATATATGTGGTAATTAAAGTATTAATGTCCTGCCTGCTAGATCTTAACTTTTAAAAAGAAAAAAATTTAAAAAACTAAAAAAATTTTCTTTTAAATTTATGCCCAAATTTTGTTGCACCTTTACAGTTTTAGTTTGCAGTATAATAAGGCTTCACTTTTGTAAATTTGCTAGATTTTGACCATAATTTTGTTTTTTCTCTTTCAAATTCCCAATACTTTTGTTTTGTATTTCATTTTTAACTATTCATAAAATATGCATCAAGGGTGCTGATTACAATCCATACTGTACCCATACAGCACCAAATGTGTTACGTTACAAACGTAATACCAAAATATTTCCGTGATTGCAGACACGTTGCAAATCACTTTTTTATTGATTACAAAAGTATCAAAATGCTCGAATCATTACAAAAACAGAATTATAACAAAAACCTTTTAATCGTAACTTAGAACATCGATAAGATAACAATTGCATAACTTTTCACATGTTTACTAATCAGCTAGAATTATACTAACAAATGAAAGCTATTTAAAATTAAAAAGGAGAGTACAAGAATTGATATATTATTCTAATATTGCTATATCTATTTGTTATCTATAATAATTCCATGATTACTTATTTTTCTAACAGTCTTATTCTCTAAGAAATAAAAAAAATTTAGTCTTTAGAGTGTGCTTTGATATAAAGAAGATTCATATGCAAGCATTCTCTAAAGACTTTTTTTCCTTACAATATATTTTTTAAACATTAAGGTAGACAAATATAATATTGTGTTTTGTTATTGAAGTTTAATGCTTGTCTGTGGCATCAAAACAGTTAAGTTTTTTCTTGCCATTTCTAACATATTTTTTTTATATTTTTATGAGATTTATCACGATATTTCTATTTATCAGTTTTAGAAAGCCTGGGAGAATTCCAAATGCATTTCATCACATAAATTTTGTGAATGTTTGTAAAATGAATTTTATTTATGTATAATACTGCTAAATGGTATAACATAACAAGTTTCTAAAGAAATACTGTAATTTGGGTAATTTCTAAATATTTGTTTATTTTGTAGCAAAAAAAATTTTTTAGTTTTAGGACCTCTTCACTTTTTTGTACTCAGCATCTTAAGTACCCGAGTGTTAGAACAAAATTCTTCAGCTATATAGTTATAATACGAATGAAAAGAAAAGCTTTCTTATCTACAACGGTTTTGATTAAGTATGCCGTCCACAATGCTGACATAAAATATCCTCGGTGGTAGACGGATCATGTTTAAAATTCCTCTGCCATCCGACTAACCATGGAAAGTTTTTGTGATTTTTACTCTCCTTGTAATACAAATGTGAGTTAGTTCCATCAAAAAGCCCTTTACTAAGGCTAGTTTGTCAAAATGCTTCATCTAAGAGTTCCATTGTCCTCTAGGTTAGGTTCAAGACTACAAAGTTGAACTTTGATAGTTGTAAACTCAGAATTAGGTCAGCTGTTCAATGCCATTTATTAAATAAAATTTATAGTTTTCCTGTTTATGTACTAATTTTTAATTTATTGCAGTGTTTCCAACTGTACAATGCTTATTCATTGTTTAAGTTAACAATGGAAGTTAAAGATGTAGAATGGCAGGTAAGTTTTTAATTTTGAACTATATAGTTTTATGTAAATTGTTTTTAATTAAAATTATTTGTTAAGTTTTTGTTTAGTTCAGTTTTACCTTTTGGAAAGGTAAAGAAAACTGGACTAAACAATTTAAAATGTGTTAAGTTTTTTTTTAGACATCACAATACTAGAATTGTATTAAAAATAAAGCATAGGTCTTTCTATTAAATTCAATGGCTGATTATAAATAAACATCTTTTCTTTTTCCTTCATGTTTTAAAGATTTTTAATAAAAGAAATGTTTTAAGGCTAAGCACCAACATAAAACTTCTTTCTCTTTCAATAGCTTTAATTTTACTTTCATTTACAACTTGACCATATAATTAATAGAATGTTCATTGCATTTACGATTTTTTTAAAAATTATTTTCAACCAAATAATATCGATGCAATAATATAGAGCTACTACTTATAGTAAACTTCATTGGATTAAAAATTGACATTATTATTTCTGAAACTAATGAAGTTATTTCTTTATCAAATATATCTCTCTGCTTTATTTCTTTAGAATTATTCATATCAAATTACAGGAGTTATTGAGAAAGTACAAATAGAAGCCTTAGGTTTGAAAAAAAACTCCATTTAAAATTTATAACTGCTTACTCAATTTGTCTGAGTGTCAATGTATCATTCTTAATAAAAATAAAAAAGCAGTTTTGGAGCTTATCACAGATCTAAGCTTTAAGATTGAATTTAATTTAGTAAAATTTTTAGAGGAAATAAATAATTTTGTCTAGTGCCAAAAAATGAGCCATTTTGATTAACAATAAATGCCTTTATTACTTTTTTCCTAACTTAAACGGCCAGTTTTAGACGTTAATGTACTGTTAACCATATCGCATGTCATACTAAAAAAAAAGTTCTGGATAATATGTTTAATAAATGGTAGCATTAGATGAGTTTTATTTTACTGAGTGAAAGATTTTTATACAAAGTAATTTAGTGTTTTGAAATGATTTGCAATAGCACTAATATTTTCACAGAAGGATTTTAATCTTATTTATTCATCCTTGAAATTTTTTACAATATTTTAAAGTATTTTTATGAGTTTTAAACAACATTTTCAGCAAAATATCATTTTCTTATACCGGAAAAGCGACAATCTCATAACTAGAGTCTGTATTTTGATGATCTAAAAAATCCCTGAAAATACCCTTAAAAAATAACAAAAAATACAATTAATAGCAATAAATGCCTTTAAAATATCAAAAATGTACAATCAATATCAAAAATGGACACATAAAAAAAAATATATATATATAAATACCCATAAAGCGCCCCCCTTAATTTTTGACGAAAATAACCGTGATGTCGAGGGGGCGAATAATCGGTACTGAAGAAAATGCAAAGCGCTGTTTTTTAAAAAAAAATCAACTACTATATTTGGTTGAGCATTATTTAGTGTGAACAAATATAGATTAGTGGCAAAATATACAGTAAAAATAATCGTTGCCAAAGAAAGTAAATGTAAATTTTAATCATTAAAAACATGCCTTTGCTGCAGTCCTTTATTTTTAAATTTTAGTGTGATTGCTGCACATGCAAATAAGTGAAAAAATGAAATAAAAATATGTATGACAAAATATTTCATAAAAGAAAGAAATTTTATTCTGAACAAGCAAAGAATGATCTGTCTCCACCCCCAAAGTATTCAGATTTTTCTTGCCCCTATAGAACAATTCTAAGAAAGGCTAATTCCCTTTTATTCCTTATCTCCTACTCAACTCCCCCTCAATTTACATTTTTCTTCCCCTGTAGGAGAGGGTTCCTTGGGGTATTAGTCCACTTTTCCTTCGAGGAGAATTTCATACCCCCTTCCTTACCCGTCGAATATCGAAGGCCGTGTTATTACTCTTTGAGTGATCGTTTAGAAGGAATTCTGAATGCTCTGAGTGTGTACTATGCATGATTCTTTATCGTCTTACGGGATCATCGCCAACAAAACCAATTATTTTTATTTTTTGAATCCGGAATGAAAAATGTAGCAGAAGAGTCCCGATTTCTGTGTGGATGCTAGTTTCTGTTTCTGTTGGATCGTTAAACTAGTTAAAGTGATTCTTAGCTTACCTGACTAAGTACCAATCTTCATTTCTATAGTTCTTTCTTTTTTCTCTTTTCTTCTTTTTTTAATCACCTTTATTTTAATCACTTTATTTTGTTATTCACAGATATATTTTAAAACAAAAGGATTCACCAAATAAAAAGTTAGTTTTTCATTAATGCCTTATATGTAATTAAAATTGAATAAATTTGTGTCTTAGATTTAATTTGTGTCATAAAATTTTTAGTATAATAAATTCACCACATGTTTTAAAATGCTTTAAGGCAGGGAAAAAATTATATATCACATTTTCCCATTATAGCTTTCTGATTATGTCATTTTAATTATAAATATTTCCCAAGTATTTTATTTCCTCAAATCTAGCTACATACTCTGCAAGAAGGCAATTAAAAAATTTCGCTAGAGTTATGTAAAAATTATTCGTTTAGGTGTAAACAAATTAGTTAAGTAGTTTGTTTGTAATGACGTACAGGGGTGTGTTGCCGGAGCAAACTCCTAGATAAGAAGGATATGAAAAGAATAGTGTAATAATGTAATCTCTAGGAGAGGAGATTTTATTAAATAAAAATGAAAAAAACATTGAGATAACATGCATTAATAAAAAAATTTATTTTAAATTTATATATATGTATGTGTCTAATCATATATACAGGAGTTTGACAAAATAATTTAGAGACTTCGATACTAACACATTTTTTAATATTTAAAAAATAAATACTTAGAGAATCAGTTCATAAATTTAAAAGTTATTAGATGATACGATTTCTCCTGCACATCAATGAAGTTAAACGCTTTTTGAAGCTTGAGGTACCTACAATGAACTACAAAAGGAAAATAATGTTTTTCAACAACTGTGCCAAAAAATGTGTGCAATAAATTTGTAACTCATAACTATTATTTTGGATATTATATGCAATAATTGGGCGAAACTTCATACACCTTGGTTAAATATTTATAGAGATGTATAAACATTTTTATAAAAAAAGAATTTTTTATCTTTTTTACTATAGCTTAAATATTTAAAAAAATTAAACAAAGCGTTTGAATCAATTTTAAACTGATAACGAAATTATTGCTTTAAAGTTAAAAACATAATAATAACAACTGCGCCAGATAAGAGTAATTGAAGTAGTTGCTTTATACAGCGCATGTGCGGAAAAAAAAAATTAAAAAAATTATCTTAATTTTACAGTGAATCGTATTTGACAACTAACAAGTTAAGTCCGATTTGAATATCTTAAAAATGAAAAAAGTTTCAAGCAATTTTCTAAGTAGTTTTCTTACTCTTTTAAGAAAAAGCTCAAAATTATGAGGGATTTTCCACAAATTTCATTTTGTACTATTAAACAAGATTTATTAACAAATGATAATACCCTACTAATGATGGNGTATTCATCCGTTTTTCCTTCGAGGAGAATTTCATTCCCCCTTCCTTACCCGTCGAATATCGAAGGCCCTGTTATTATCGTTTAGAAAACGATTAGAAGCTGTTAGCGAAGAATTCTGAATGCTCTGCGAGTGTACTATGCATGATTCTTTATCGCCTTACGAGATCATCGCCAACAAAACCAATTATTTTTATTTTTTGAATCCGGAATGAAAACTTTAGCAGAAGAGTTCCGATTTCTGTGTGGATGCTAGTTTCTGTTTAGTTAAAGTGATTCTTCGCTTACCTGACCAAGTACCAATCTTCATTTCTATAGTTCTTTTTTTTTTTTCTTTTCCCTTTATTTCAATCGCTTTATTTTGTTATTCACAGATATATTTTAAAACAAACGGATTCACCAAATAAAAAGTTAGTTTCTCATTAATGCCTTATATGTAATTAAAATTGAATAAATTTGTGTCTTAGATTTAATTTGTGACATAAAATTTTTAGTATAATAAATTCACGTTTTAAAATGCTTTAAGGCAGGGAAAAAATTATATATCACATTCACCCATTATAGCTTTCTGATTATGTCATTTTAATTATAAATATTTCCCAAGTATTTTATTTCCTCAAATCTAGCTACATACTTTGCAAGAAGGCAATTAAAAAATTTTGCTAGAATTATGTAAAAATTGTTCGTTTAGGTGTAAACAAATTAGTTAAGTAGTTTGTTTGTAATGACGTACAGGGGTGTGTTGCCGGAGCAAACTCCTAGATAAGAAGGATATGAAAAGAATAGTGTAACAATGTAATCTCTAGGAGAGGAGATTTTATTAAATAAAAATGAAAAAAACATTAAACATTAAGATAACATGCATTAATAAAAAAATTTATTTTAAATTTATATATATGTATGTGTCTAATCATATATACAGGAGTTTGACGAAATAATTGAGAGACTTCGATACTAACACATTTTTTAATATTTAAAAAATAAATACTTAGAGAATCAGTTCATAAATTTAAAAGTTATTAGATGGTACGATTTCTCCTGCACAACAATGAAGTTAAACGCTTTTTGAAGTTTGAGGTACCGACAATGAACTACAAAAGGAAAATAATGTTTTTCAACAACTGTGCCAAAAAATGTGTGCAATAAATTTGTAACTCATAACTATTATTTTGGATATGGGAATTTGGATTATTATTTGGATTGGGCGAAACTTCATACACCTTGGTTAAATATTTATAGAGATGTATGAACATTTTTATAAAAAAAGAATTTTTTATCTTTTTTACTATAGCTTAAATATTTAAAAAAATTCAACAAAGCGTTTGAATCAATTTTAAACTGATAACGAAATTATTGCTTTAAAGTTAAAAACATAATAATAACAACTGCGCCAGATAAGAGTAATTAAAGTAGTTGCTTTATACAGCGCATGTGCGGAAAAAAATTTTTTTAAAAATTATCTTAATTTTACAGTGAATCGTATTTGACAACTAACAAGTTAAGTCCGATTTGAATATCTTA